GTTTTTAAGTGATACTCCATGTCCTTGGAATCTAATTCTGTCTTACTGTATGACGTCATTTCGAGGTCATGTGAGATGCGCGCGCCTAAAACCATCATTAGTGTGTCTAACCATCGAGGTGAAAGCACCTCTCAATAGTCGATCTCTAATTTTCTAAATATTTTGAGAAATTCGACTTAGGCCTATGACCTGTGGTTTAGTTGAAATCTAGTGAGGCCATTATTTTATTAATTTAAGTTGCTACGAGATAGCACTATCTGTCGTTAATCGACAATTTTTTTTTTTTTTTTTTTTTTTTTTTTTTTAAAGCATTTTCTTGAGATTCGAGAAAATGGCGGATTCTACGAAGAAAAGTTTAACTTCTATTCGGCCAGCAAGTCAACTTTTGATCTCGCTAGTATAATTTTTGAAAAAGATAAAAGCAGAAAGTCTGTAAAAGGGACTGATAGTTTTAAAACTAGCATTAAATCAACTGCAACTGGTGAAAATTTAGAAAAGGTCACATGCAGTCCGAGTGAAATGGCGGCAAGAAATCGACCGTCCTCATCCAAAAATAAAGATGATGCAATCATCGAAACTGCAAGTTTTTCAAAAGATAACAGTCAAACTTTTGCTGACTTTAAAATGGAAATGCATGAAATGCATAAAAAGTCTTTTGAAGAAATTCAATTAATTATTGCATTCGATGGATAATTTACGACAACCAGAAAGTCGTCGTACAGATAAAAGACCCATTTGTGGCCGGAAACGAGTTATTTCTGAATCTGATGTCAACAACGATAGATCAGAAGGTGAAATTTACGAAAATTCAGACCCTGATTTTCTTTTGACTCAAAAGAAGTATAAGATCCCGAAGTTGGATAAAAAGAGAGCCGGGGGAGAAAATCTGGACATAATACAACAAATTAATGAATTGTTGGAGCAATCTAATGATGAAAGAGATCATCAAGACCATGAAAAAGATGACGACTCAGAAAACGATTTTGAAAAGTTTCTTGAACAAGAATATTCTGTTGTGGATAAAGTTGGCAATGTTTTGCCAGCAAAAGTTGCTGACATAATTAAACACATGTTTAATACTAAGCAAGCTGATGATCGGTCAAAAGGAATAATGGAAAAATACCTGAGACCAGGGAATATTGAATTATATCCTCAAAAGATCAATACAGAAATTTGGGGGCATCTGAAAAAGGAAACCCAATTCAAAGACATTGACTCTTTCAAATTGAGTGAAAATTGATAAAATGTTCATATGCTGTTATGAGCTTAGTAGAACTGTTATTAAAATCTAAGAAACAGGACAAAAAGTCAGATGATAAAGACAGTAGTCTGTCTTCTGGGATTAAGACTGGAATGGATGCTCTTTCATTACTTGGCCATATAGTGCAGGATCATAATCAGATTAGACGTGATAGTTTAAAGGTAGACTTAAATCTACAATATAAAAAATTGTGCAATCCTTCTCATAATACTGATACTGGATCAAGTAAATGGTTGTTTGGTGATGAACTTGGTAAACGTGTAAAAGACATAAAAGAAACAAATCAAGTTGGTTCATCAGTGACCAGTGGAAGCCGTCTATATAAAAGCGTTTCAAGATTTAATTCTAGAT